AAAAGCAGTACTGCTCCAGCCTACCCTTTGTCCAGGTTTGTTCCTCAGTAGGTCTGAGGAAGTGCAACACATACCAGTATCATTATATTGGGGGTATACAAAGGAAACCTCATTGCCAATAATACTCTCCAAGAAACATAGGTTGTAATGTCATTTCTGTACATTCTTAGTTTACCTTATTTATGTGAGATGGCATGATTATTTACAGCAGAGACAACTAACAATTCGTTGAGCTATCTCTCAGTGAGTCCTTGTTGTAACCGGATGCGGCGCCCTCTTCCCCTCATCTGCTCTTTTGGCTGCAGCTTAAATAGTTCCTGTTGTGTTGAGTAAATGTGGTTTGAACAGTTCCCAATAATGTTACATGGTTGCTCAAAAACCACATTGCTTGCTTAAAAACCACATTAATAGAATCAATTGTGTTTGTGCTTATGAATATGTATGGAGTGAATGAGGAAGTATGAGTGAGAAACTTCCAATTGTAAAGCAGTACATTTACTACCATTTATAGCTAAGGAAAATGCCTGCAAAGTGCATACATTTAGGTGATGGGTGGCCAGGTGTATGCTCTTTCCTTCAGAAAAGATGTAACAGCACGCCAAGCTTGGGACCAGAGTGGAAGCAGTAGAGGCCTCCCACAGATCTGAAGGGACTCTGGGGACTCATCTCCTGGAGATTGGCTGCGAGGCAGCTGTTGCCTGGCTAGCTTCAGCCATCTGTGAAATTGAAACTGACTCTCTCCGCATGAAGCTTGCCTCTACTGCCAGCATGAATGTGATGTGTGTCGGAGTATTGCTGTACCATTAAGAAACTGTACTAATAAACAAGCTTCAGTGCTGCTCCAGTTCACCTTTTGTTTGTGTTTCGTCCTTGGTTGATTCCAAAGAGAGGCAACACTTATTACTGTACAATCATTCTTCCCTGTTCATTCCCCACTAGAAAATATCTGATGTAACAATCATCCATTATTAGTTTCGTGTGTGTGTGTGTGTGTGTGTGTGTGTGTGTGTGTGTGTGTGTGTGTGTGTGTGTGTGTGTGTGTGTTAAGGAGATGGTTTCCAAGAATACTTAGAGTTGTATAGATATGAAAGTGGCCAAGATTGTTAAAATATAGCATAATGAATACATTCCTGAACAGGGTTATTTACCAGTCAAGGACCAGTGTTCTGGGCCTGAAAATTCAGAATATTCTTTGTTGAAGAAAAAAGGTTAGTTGACAATAGATACATTAATCAGAAGGAAAGCAAGCAAGAAAGTAAGCATTAATATTTACTAACCGGTACTACCACTGGAGAACCAGGAACTCCTAATAATAGGTTACAGTTATTTTTCTTCTCATATCCTCCCCCATACAATTGTGCTACCACATGTGAAGTTTGTGCTTCACATTTTTATCTAGGAAATATGGGGGTCAGTTTCATGGTGTGCTGCCATTGCTGAGTTGGGCTACGTGAAAAAAATTGTTGGAACAGTTTTGCTGATTGGACAACAGTTAAACATGTTGATTTTTGTCAGTTTTAACAGTAAATGAAGGGCTTTGATAGGGCTGAAACTTTAATTTTATCATTTCTGCTTTTGGTAGTTATAAAAGTCAAAATAGAAAAGTTGAAATAATGCTTTGATAAGATTTCATGAACAACTCTGGGATTTTGACTTTTTGACTCAATTATAAATGAGTAAAAAATGAAATTTCAAAATATCAGAATTTCATGCAGGATGGAAATTCCTTTTTTTTTTGTTGTTTTTGTTTTTTGTTTGTTAGGTGATTTGTAGGGTTTTTTTTGTCAGTTTGGAGGTTGGATTCACCCCTGGTTTACAGTGGCACATTGGTCCTGAGAGCAGGAGTTTGTGGTGCTGCAAGTTCCATTTGAGGTCTGCAGTCACCTGCTACATTCCAAGCATTGGGTATTGAAAGCTCTGGAGAAGGACATGGCCAAGATGCTCCAGAGGTGCGCCAAATTTGCACATACCTGGGCAGACTTTGCTGAAGGGATTCCTGAAGAGCTTTGACTGCGATTTAAAATAACCTCTAGGGAAGTTGGTGTGCAAAATATTCCTGAACTTAACCAGGTGTGGAGCACTCTCTGTGATACATGTGCTTTAGAGACGACTCCGTCTGCAGAATGAGGTTTTATACATTTTCAGGTACAGACGATCTAGACCTATGTATTAATTCCATCTGGACACCATTCTAAGAGTATCAGGATAAGTGTCATCTATTTGTTTTCTCTCTGTCAGGGATTGTTGTAATACAATTTTTCAGAAGATTCATTTCATTTGAAGATTCTTACCATCATGTTTAAACTAAACTTATCTTCTATAAAAGGAGGAGGAGAGATCTTGTCAAAACACAGGAGCATTCTGGGAGTTAAAGCCTGCCTGTTATAAGATACTATCAAATTTTGTACTCTTGTAGCAGTATTAAAAACTCAAGTGTAGATTTATTAATAAATCTGTTACACACTTTTGGTTGTGATTGTTGCCTAGTCTGTCTATTCCAAGTAAGTATTTAAAAATGTAAGAACATACGAATGGCCATACTGGGTCAGACCAAAGGTCCATTTAGCCCCAGTATCCTATCTTCCAGCAGCGAGATGCCCAAGAGGGAGTGAACAGAACAGATAATCATCACATGATCCCTCTCCTGTCATCCATTTCCAGCCTCTGCCAAACAGAGGCTAGGGGGACGCCCTTTCTACTCATCCTCGCTAATAGCAATTGATGGACCTAACCTCCATGAATTTATCTAGCTCTTTTTTGAACCCTGTTAAAGTCCTGGTCTTCACAACATCCTCTGGCAAGAAGTTCCACAGGTTAACTGTGTACCGCGTGACAGGAAAACTTCCTTTTGTTTGTTTTAAATCTTCTGCCTATTAATTTCATTGGGTGACCTCTAGTTCTTATATTATGTGAACAAGTACATAACTTTTCCTTATTCACTTTTTCCATCCCAGTCATGATTTTATAGACCTCTGTCATATCCCTCCTTAGTCTCCTCTTTTCTAAGCTGAAAAGTCTGTCTTTTTAATCTCTCTTCATATGGGACCAAACCCCTAATCACTTTTGTTCCCTTTTCTGAACCTTTTCCACTTCTCCCCTTTTTTTTGAGATGAGGCAACCACATCTATATGCAGTATTCAAGATATGGGCGTACCATATCTTTATATAGAGGTGATAAGATGTTCTCTGTCTTATTCTCTATCCCTTTTTAATGATTTCTAAAATTGTTTGCTTTTCACTGCCGCTGCACATTGAGTGGATGTTTTCAGAGAACTATTCACAGTGACTCCAAGATCTCCTTCTTGTGTAGTTATAGCTAAATTAGTTCCCGTAGTATTATATATATAGTTGGGATTATTTTTTCCAATATGCATTAGTTTACATTCATCAACTTTAAATTTCATTTGCCATTTTTTGCCCAATGACTTAGTTTTGTGAGATCTCTTTGAACTCTTCACAGTCTGCTTTGGTCTTAACTATCTTGTGCAATTTACTATTATCTGCAAATTTTGCCACCTCACTGTTTACCCCTTTCTCCAGTTCATTTATAAACAGGTTGAATAGGATTGATCCCAGGACGGACTCATGGGGGACACCACTAATTACCTCTCTCCATTCTGAAAATTGACTACTTATTCCTACCTTTTGTTTCCTGTTTTTTTTTTTTTTTAAACCAGTTATCAGTCCATGAGAGGACCTTCCCTCTTAGCCCATGACAACTTAGTTTGCTTAAGCGCCTTTGGTGAGGGCCCTTGTCAAAGGCTTTCTGGAAATTTAAAGTGCACTATATCCACTGGATCTCCCTTGTCCACATGTTTGATGAGCCCCCTCAAAAAACTCTAGCCCATTAGTAAGGCATGATTTTCATTTACAGAAACCATGTTGACTTCCCCCCCCCAACAAATTATGTTCATCTATGTGTCTGACAATTTTATTGTTTACTATAGTTTCAACTTATTTGCCTGGTACTGACGTTAGACTTACTGGTCTGTAATTCCCAGGATCACCTCTAGAGCCTTTTTAAAATATTGGCGTCACTTTAGCTATCTTCCAGTCATTAGGTACAGAAGCTGATTTAAAGAATAGGTTACAAACCACAGTGAATAGTTCCACAATTTCACATTTGAGTTCTTTTAGAAATCTTGGGGAATGCGACCATCTGAGCCCAGTGACTTGTTAGTGTTAAGTTTATCAATTTGTTCTCAATCTGGGACAATTTCTCAGATTTGTTACCTAAACAGAATGGCTCAGGTTTGGGAATCTCCCTAACATCCTCAGCTGTGAAGACTGTAGCAAAGAATTAATGTAATTTCTCTGCAATGACCTTATCGCCTTCGAGTGCTCCTTTGGCATCTCGATTGTCCAGGAGCCCCACTGGTTGTTTAGGAGGCTTCCTGCTTCTGAGGTACTTAAAAACATTTTGCTATTACTTTTTGAGTTTTTGCCTAGCTACTCTTCAAACTCCTTTTTGGCTTTTCTTATAGTTTTACACTTCATTTGACAGCGTTTATGCTCCCTTCTAATTTCCTTACTTGGATTTAACTTCTACTTTTTAAACAGTGCCTTTTTATTTCTCACTGCTTCTTTTACTTGGTGGTTAAGCCACAGTGGCACTCTTTTGGTTCTCTTACTGTGTTTTTCAATTTGGGGTGTACTTTTAAGTCAGGCTTTTGTGTGAATAGATGGGATTAATTTGTATGAGCAGGATTTACCTGTGTGAATAGATGGGATTAATTTGCATGTGCACCATTATTCTTCATCCAATATTATTTGATGTTTTTAAAAAGCAAAATACAAATATACTGTGATTAAGACACGGATCTGGAGCAAGGTAAATTCATAAGTGTTTGAGAAATAAAATTGATAACAGTAAATGTCTCAAAACAGAAAGCTATTTTCAGACGTGTGTGGGAAAGTTGCCATGTGTAGGGAGCGGTGAATTTACAACATAAAGCAAAGTATCTCAAACGGGACATATTGATATCGTTACTAGTACAAATATGCACTACCATGTGCTTCCTTCAAATTCTGAGCAGCCAGCTCAAGGACAGATTGATTCTTCAGGCATGAATAATAATTCAGAAAAGTATGCATCATGTAGAATGCCCCCTTCAAATTCTTACCTAATGGAGAAGGACTATATCAGGAGCAACATGTTATATTTTCAGGCCCTTAAATGGGCATTGCAGACTGGAAGATTTAAAAAAAAGCTGTAAAAAGATCCTTGGCAGTGTTTAAATTAATAATTGTATTTAATTCAGTGTAATACCACTACATTGTGCCTCTGTGTGACTGAATTTTAACTTATTTTTCTTTCAGGTGCATTCAGTGCTTGACAAAGAACATTTCCAGATATGTTGCAGATATTAAGCCTTTGCCTCCCAACATAAAAGATAAGCTGATAAAATTAATGAGTATGCAAGGGAGGATAACTGATTCCAATATCAGTGAGGTAAGACCATTCAAGAATCACTTCTGTGCATCTCTCCACATTCATGCCAGTTTATTACAGAACAAAATATAAAATAATGAGCTCAACTAAAACTATGTATATAGTTCAACAAGTGATCCCACGACCTCTTTCTATGTAAATTTCTCCTCATTTCTCCCGCCTAATGCCATCTCTTGCTATTTCATCTCATGCCATCCTGGATTTTAAGGGATTTATCTGACTGTAAAGTTCCATAAATTCCTACAAACCGAGAAGAATATGGACACCGGTCAGTGACAAAGTTTTCTAGATGACTTCTGTATCATCAGTGTAATCCAGGGGAGTCCTGTTGTCCACTGTACATATTTCAGTATAGGATGCTGTGCAACTGTTGCTATCAGTTTTGAATTAAATTGTCTAATTGGCATAAATAAGTGTGTAACATGTAAATTAATCACAGTTGCAAACTTCATGACCTAATAGCCAAATAGCATATTTTTTAAAAGTATTTTTGCAGAAAAGCCCTAACAGGAGTAGTGGATTGTCTCTGTTTGCTGAGGCTGCTGCACAGATGTTTCCTTTACAATCTTGCAGGATCAGCAGATTGACTAGGTGTTGGATCTATGCTGCTGTTTCTTTTTGTAGCAATGGGAAAACACTATAACAGGGACAGTTGCCAAAACGAGCTTTTAGCAGCTGATATTTAAATAATGTATGGTTCTCAGAAAATCTTGAGATACCTATAATGTTCTGTGGGCTTTAGGTCTATGATTTAGGATAAAATTCCATTAAATCCTGAGTTCTTTGAAAGGTTGCTGAGGTGGACTATGAGTTCTTTGGTTCTGCCCTTTCAATTGCTCATTAATGCTTGTCAGTGTTCCAGGATGAAATTCAATAATGACTTGCCTCAGTTGTAAATTCAGATGTTTTGACATTTGTATCCTTTTATGTCCTCCTCGTCTCGAAGGGAGCTATAAAAATTAAGGAAAACTAAAAGTTGGCCTTGGTGAAATAGGGGAAAGAAGAACTCCCCAGTTCATTCTTGCTTTGATCTGTTACTTGTGCCAGGCAAATGTTACCAGTCCCTGAAAGTCAGAACAACAAGACTATGAGGCATGGGGCAGTACACCAGAATTTTTCTGAAAAAAGCATAATCTTAAACATGCTACATTTCTTGAACTGTAATAAAAGGTGGGACAAGATGAAAATGGAGTCAATCATATACATGTAGTATTCTTTTAAGAAGCCTGCTGAATTGCTTTGAGCAATTCGTTGGATGCAATCCATCCATACATATGAGGAAAATCAGTTTACAAAAACTCAAGCTCCCTCTTTTTTATCCCCATATTCTCTAACAGAGTGTTGTCTCCTCCTTTGCCTCTTTTCTGTTCTCGTCTATAATCTGCTTTCAGTAGTTTATCACTACATTTTCCTGGAAGCACGTTGCTCCTTGTACATTTAGTACTCCTGTTCTCTTCCTTCAGCAGTTTTTTCCCCTCTTTCTCACTCTGTTAATGTCCCCAAGTTTCTGTCTTAGATCCCATGGTCTTTGTCTTACACAGTGTACAATAACTCTCAGTACTGACAGCTTCTGAATCTACCTTTCCTGTCTGTAGGGTATTACATCTTTGATAGTCTGTCTTCTTGGAATCCAAATGCCAGTTCAAAGTCCCACAACCCTCCCTCTGTCCTCTGCTTTTCTTCTCATATCTTTCTTGGATAATTCCCCTATTTTCCCTATTACCCAGACACAGATATGACTTATATTTGACTCCTCTTATTTCTTCTTCGAGTGCTTGCTCATGTCCATTCTGATTAGGTGTACGCGCGCTGCGTGCACGGATTCCGGAGCTTTTTTCCCTTAGCAGTATCCATAGGGCCAGCAGGGAGCCCCTTGGAGTGGCGCCGGTATACCGGTGCATATATACCCCTGCTGGCCCTCCCACCCCCTCAGTTCCTTCTTACCGCCTGTGACGGTAGCTGGAGCATGCTTCAGGCTGATAGCCTATCTCTTAGCAGCTTATTTCTTATCTGTTGTATTATAGTTCTAGCTGAAGTTTTTATCTAGTTAAGTAGTTGTTAAGTGTTGTAAATATTTAGTTAGATGGGGGAGCAGTGGAACCCTCCCGTGAGGGGAGGGCATGCCAGGGCCCCAGGGCTTTAAACCCTGTGCTTCCTGCTCCAAACCTATGCCCTGCGGAGATCCCCACTCCGACTGCCTAAAGTGTCTGGGTGAGGCCCATCGAGCTGAAAGCTGCTCTATCTATAAGAGCTTTAAGCCCCGGACCAAGAAGGAGAGGGACTCCCGGCTGAAACTCCTGCTAATGGAGTCGGCACTGCAGCCTCAGAGCGAGGAGCGGCCTCACTCTGCCCGCAGCGCACCGTCGGCAGCACCCCCGTTGGACAACAAGGCACCGAGGCACAGATCGCAGTCCCCAGTGCCGAGGGCCTCCAAGAGCTCGAGGGGATGCTCGGCAGAGGAGTGCCCAGAAGGTGCGCCCTAAGGAGGGGCACCTTTCTTCTAAGTCCTC